AGTCGTAAAGAAATAGTTATGATACAAGGGGTAAAAGCGCCATTTTATTTTTGATCTGATTATTGTCACAATGAACGTATTTTGTTTTCTTTGTTGCTTTTCAAAGTTTTATCAGAACAGTTTTGAGCATGTCCACTTTCCAGCAGTAGTGCAAAAATTGAGCTTTTAGCATTGCTCTGCATGCCTGGAAAGAACCGCCTGTTTACTAGTTGCAAACCTAACAAAATGTTTTTCACCCCCCCCCCCTTTTAGTCAATAAATATTTGACATATTTTAATTACCCATGTGCTAATCTCACACAGCACAGTTCAGAGCCGGCTTTTTTAAAATGGAATCCACAGTGAAGTATATTCACCTTTAAAACAATGATTAACAAATAGTGGGAATTCCTTCAATGCTTATCCACTAACAATTTAATAATAATTCTGAAAGGTCGGACTGTCAAAGTGCAAAATATTGATTGCACCAGGAGCAAAAGCTGGGAACCTTTTTGATAACTGGGCAAATGTCCTAATAACTGAGCTATAGAATCAAGCATTGCATCACGAACTCACAACCAATTCACAATCTAATAAGAATCAGCATTCAAATCCAGAATGTAATTGTCATGACAAAGAATAAAAAACAATGATACCACCCACATACTTAGAATTATTAAATTGAATCAATCGTGTTTGTCATGAGGAAAACTATTATTGTCAGAACAGATAACAAAAACTGAAGCAACTTATATCAATTACTAATAAAAAAAAGTAATACTAATAAGAAAGAAACAAAATTGCAGACTAGATAATAGCCATTAAATAAATTCTTAAAGATTGCTATGAAAAAGTAGCCCTCTGAAACTTCAAAAAACCTTTTGTATTCATATATATCAAAATAAAAGTGTCTTAAAATAGCAAGAGGCATTCCAAAATTGAGAAAATGATCATGCTTTTACAGAAATTAATTTTATCTTTAAATTTTATTTAATTAGAACTTTCAATTCAGATGTGGGAAATTACAGTTTATAATTAATGGATCATGTACCAAAATGACCAGAATACACACTGATTTAAAAACTCTCATTTCCTTGTTGTTCATTACCTTTATAAAACTGTCAGCGTAAAAGAAATATGTCAGAAACTTTGTGCAGCAATGAAGCAAGTTATTCACGTGCATATAACAATAAATCGTTTGAAAATTATTCTCTCTGAGTTCGAAACTCCTCAAAGTGAACATTAATTAAAGCAAGTTAGCGGTCAACTCGTAGGGTCTAATATGCATTGCTCGAAGCCATCTATGGAAGAGGATCTGAAAAGCAAAAATGATGTTAAAGAAATATACTATGTCCTCAAATGAAATTGTTCTGAAAACAAAATCTGTATCAAAAAGAAAGATGTTTCTTTTAATTCACCATCAGAATTCGAGAATTAGAAAAGCACAGGAATATCGTGCACTTACCCCACACACCGAAGGTGCAGATTTCATCTCCCAGAATTGGCTTCTTAGCACCAGTCCAAGTACAAGGATCTGTAATCACCAAAAAAATATTTTTTTTATTACTATAATTTGCCCTCAATTGGCACTAATAACTGTATATTGAAAGGAACATACCATGAGAAACTTCCATAAAAACTTGAGGTGACACTTCACATGGGTGGGAAAAAGATCTTGAAAATGGAGATAAACTTGGAAATCGATCCCATCTTCAATAAATGCCAACGAAGTAATAATTGAGATTCTTAAAGATTAAGCAAATATTTACTCTCACAAGGCTAGAATAAGGCATCACTGCACTTGCCTGTAGCAGCATGTTCAACAGCACTAGAACCTGTATTAATCAACAACAAATTATTGCCAATGACATGTATTGCTTTCAATAGCAGCTTCTTTTGCATTTTCAAACATACAATGAGACTTACATTTTCAGTTTGAAAAAGCTGCCTGTGTACAAGGATCTGAAAATTAAAAAAATGCTGGTATCATAAGCCTCCCATCAAAACTATATATTCTATTAAAACTATAAAAATATATTCTACTAAAACTATATTCTAGTAATATTCTATTAAAAAAAACTTACCAATTACACCATAGCTGCAGTGGGTGATCACCGCGCTGGTTACCAAACAAGGGATATGCAACTGCAACATGAACATTAAAAAATTCCACTATTGTTCCCACCCATCATCTTCTCCGAAGCCAAAATGCAACCGCTTCAGACTTCAGAACAGCAGTAAATCACTTCATTTCTCTAATTCACCTGACTGCGATATGGCATATTTACTCGACTCTCTACAAAACAGCCAACTCCGTGAATACTCATCTTAGGTCGACGAGGAAAGAATCCAACCGGTAACCAACCGGCTCGTTTGCGAAAAAATTCAAATGAAAAAGTAGTTCACCGATTCTCGCTTGAGCGAGTTGGTGTTGATACAGACTGTATATGCTATGGCGTCGCTCTGAACTCTGATTGGCTACTGGGCTACTGTATGGAATTTGAATAAGGACCGGATGTCACCCCACTGTTAGAAATAGGAAATTTTTTGAGGGAAACTCGGAACTGGAAAATGGAGTAGGTAGCGTTAAATAGCAAGATTGTTTTTATTGTCAGAATCTGTTTGACCGCAGCATGATACAATAAGAGTTTTTAACTGTTTAATTGTGAATGAAACAGTTGAGTAGAAGTACTTTACAGTGGATTTGAAATGCAGAGAATTGGGTACGGGCTTCAGTGGTATTTTATTGCAAGACTGAACATTAGTTTAAAAAATGTTAATTTGTGTTCATGTTGTTTGCATTTTTGAAGTAATTTTTATCTTGTTTCTTTGTGAAGAAAGTTAATCTACCCAGCTTTCTGAACATTTTGAGACAATTCTTTGCATTTTAAGTAGTAATTTATAACTTACACCAGTTCATAGAGGAAATATTAATTATAGTAGTAATCAATATAGCGCGTATTTTCATTATTAGAGGATTGTCAGCAATGAAAAAATATATGCTCTAAATTTAATGAGTAAGTAAAGTATGAGGTTAGTGATAATATTTAAAAAAATCACTTTTATTATTTCATCTTCAGAGTCAAAGAACCAAGCCAAAGCCCATGGACCACTGCAAAAAAGTGTTGTTGAAGGCAAAGTGTTGTGATGCTGATGGTGGATCATAGATCATATCTCAACCCATCATAACAGGTGAAGATTGTTCGTGTGATAATAGTGAAGAAGGCCAAGTGTTGTGATGACAACTGAATATCTTCATAACAGTGGTGAAGATTCTTTGTTTTCTGAATAGCAATTGTGAATAAATCACACTGTAATTTACTAGTCAGGTCAAGTTGATATACTCTAATGCATTCCAAAATGAATCATATATTTCTTACAATATTTTTGCTTCCTTGCAATAAAACAATTTTAGCTAATTACTATACATTCCCTCTTCTTTAGCAAAGGAATCCAAACAAACAAAAGATGTAGATGATTAAAGTGCCATTCCCTTAATAGCATTAAAATATACAGTTGAAATTGTTTTATTAGTAAATAACATTAAGTAAAGCTTTGTTTATGTAATTGTGTGTTTAATATTAAGAAAATATATGCCAAAGTTAATCTTTTGTAGGGAAAAATAATATCCTATTGATGTGGACCACTATATTTACAGTACATTGTATACACTTATATTAAGCAGTCCATTAAATGTCCCTCCACAGTACTGCAATGAACTTAAAAAGGCTCAGGGTGGATTTGATCTAGTGGAGTTTGGAATGTAATGGGCGTCTTCACCTACATTTAAAAAAAAAAATTTTTCCCTTTGCCCGAGAGAAGAAATATACGATTCTGAATATTTACATATATGTACATGTACTTAAAGACCAATAGAAAAATAAAATTTTGCACAGCTTCAGCTGGCTAGCATTGTCCAATTTATACACAAGCAGTGAATGATCTTGTGATAATTTTTGTTTGTTAATTGCACAGTTCTAGTTTCTATATCTAAGGTTTAATATTTTTAGATAAAGGTAAATTTAATTTCATTTACTTTTTTGATACATTTACAAGAAATATTAAGAGACATTTACAACTTTTTTGGAACTTATTTCTTCCACTTGGGGAGGACATAGTTGTAGCTGGTAAATTGATGTTATTGGAAATTATTAAAGATTTTATTAAAGGTGGTTTTTTGGGTAGCCTCTGGTAAATGTGTTTTTTTCAGAGCATGTATAGTGTGCTAAAAGATCAATTTTGAGTTCTAGTATGAAAAATGAGTTGATGCTAAATGATCTCTTAAATCTGTGGATTCTACAAAGAAAACAAAATACTTTCATCTCACCTCAACTACTACTGACATTAATTTATGATTAAGTGATTTGCTTATTGGAATAAAAGTAAAATTATATTCAGTAATCAGGCAAAAATTTGTGTTTGTCAGAGATGCTGAAAGTGATTTTATTCTGCTCATAGGTTTGAGTCACTCGGCATCGTGATCTCGTGACACAACCTTCCCTTGCAAACAATCACTTGCAAAATAAAATGTTACTTTTACCACATATATGATATAAAACAATTGTTATGGTTAGTGTAATAAAAACTGATAAAAAGGCTATGAAGATTGGTTGCTCAAGTTCAATATTTCTATGGGTGTGTCAATAACACTTCGAGGAAATTACACACACACATGCTAAAATTCTCTATATTTTGTATGTTTTACTTTCTCTTATACTGCAGATGATGATTGTGTACTCCATTCGTCAGTTTGTTCATTAGTAGTTGTCTTAGTTGCAAGTGGCTTCAACATGATCTCTTGCAATGCTGTTGTCAAACAAGGCTTACTTGTTTCTCGACTTGTCAAACTGGTCCCTTCTTACAGTAATTTTTCTATATCAACAATTTGACTGTAAATTAGTACTGGTTATTTATTATGTTCTACCGAGGTATAACAAAAGAATTATTTGTGTTTTGATCTTGCAGGTGAAAATGGTTCGTACAAAGAAGTCTTCAAGTGATTTCAGAAAATTTAGCAAACAGTCCAACAAGAGGTCTGAAGTAAATAAAAAGACAACAATCTATGCATCCAACGCTGCTTATTTTAAGAAAAACCGTGTGACAGAACATGATGATGATGATGATGATGATGTGAATGAAATTTTATCAGACAAGAGGAAAAATGTGCGAAATTATGTAGAATTAGGTTTAGAATCTCCAGAGGCCTCTGAAATGAATGGATCACTTCGCTATAACTCAAAATTGATTCATAACAAGAAAAAATCCAATGTACGAAGAAACACTAAACTTATAGCTCTAAGAGAGATTCGACATTATCAAAAAAGTACAAAATTATTAATACCCAAAGCCTCTTTTGCTAGAGTGTGTAGAGAAATTTTCCTGCAGTTTGGTGGACCCGATTTAAGAGTTGCAATATTAGCTTTGGAATGCTTACATGAAGCTGCTGAATCATTCCTAGTTCAACTTTTTGAAGATTCCTATTTGTGCACTTTACATTGTCAGAGGACGACATTAATGAATAAGGATCTTCGTTTAGCCCGCAGGATAGGTGGAAGAAATGGATTTTATCTATAAATATCTGTCCTATGTTTTATGATGCTGTATTCAGTATTTTGTAAGCTAGTACTAAACTCTATGTTATATCAGTGAACTTTATATACTCCTTTTTTGCAGTGATAAAATATGTATTTTCACAGGTTATAATTTCTAAATAAAAGATCGGTCATAAAAAGTCTGACAAAGAATTTTGTATGTGTTGCTTGCTTGCAGTGTTCTGCATTGAGAGAGAGAGACAGACAGAGAGAGAGAGAGAGACAGACAGAGAGAGAGACAGACAGAGAGAGAGACAGACAGAGAGAGAGACAGACAGAGAGAGAGAGAGGGGGGGGAGGAAGAGGGAGAAGGAGGGAGAGAAAGAGAGAGAGAGAAAGAAAGAAATGAATAATTGAGGTGTCCAGTGAAAGAGGGAGCTAACTCACAACTGAGTTTTGGGTTAAATTTGTTTTATTAATAATTTATATAATAATGGGAATGTTTTTTCCTTGTTATCTTTAAGATAAACTTGTTTAATTGGGAAAATAAGATTGAGCTATTCTAGAAGTATTTTATAAATGTTACACAGTCCTGATTGATATCATGCTCTTTTTTCCAAGTTGATTGATATATTATTTTTATTATTATTATTTCAACATTCTGTAAGTTTGACTATATTATTTTCTTGGACACCACTAAGATATCTGTTCTATATGTTGCAAAGTCCTTGACTTCGAAAATTTCCAAAATTATAGCATGTTTTTCATCGTCTGTTAGTGTGTGGTGCTTGCAATTGTGATTAGACATATCAAGACATAATACACATTTGCACACTGGGCGTTGCTTGTCCTTGAGTACTGTTTTCCCTGTTGTGTCACTAACATTTTTCTTCACTGTTCCTCTTCCTGCTACTTTCTTGTTTTGTTGCATCATAAATGTGTTCTTGCCACTTTTCTCCAAGCTGTCTGACACGAATCCATTTAGTATTTTGTTTTTGGGCTCGTCAACCACCATTGTCATTAGCCCTGTAAGCATATATCCCTGATCCATATATAGATCTCATATAAGTATATCCCTGGAGGTTACGATGTTCCCTGTAAATCTGGCGCTGATCTACATGTCAGGTTTTGCCTTCTGGTATCTCCACCAGCAGAGCACCATCTGAGCTGCTGACTCACCTCTTGATATAAGTAGTTGTAAGTAAATGTGTGTGTGAGAGGAGAGGATGGGACGAAGATGAGGAAGGAAAGATTGTGCGCTGTCCTTTGCCTGTTAAGGCCCTGCTCTGGCATTCAACTGGTTGGAGAAACAACGAAAAACTACTGATCAATGTAGGCAGCTGCTAGAATTGTCCTCTAGTCAGCGATTGAAAATGAAACTATCTAGCTAGTGTTGAAAATCCGTCAGCTCTCAAACCTTAGACCCTTCTGTCAGGGACACTGCAGTGGGAATAGTTGTCATGAGCCATCTCAGCCAATCACAGGGATCCTTTCTTTAATTCCTTAGCCTTCATTCTTCATTGTGTTAATAATTGGTACAGATCGAAAACCTGGTGTAAGGAAGCCTGTGAAACTGAATATCGAATCATTACTGGACATCAAATGTCTAATTTTCCTGTATTTATATTTTAAGGACTACTTGGAATGCTAGTAATGCAATTATTTGGTGGATTGAATACGTGATGTCACACATTTGACGTTCTTGTACTATTGTTGGTGTTATGAACAACACATGTGAATGTGGCTTAGCTCTCTCTCGTGAAAATAATAGAATATAGGCAGGTCAACTATTTTAAAAGTTCAATATAATATCGGAATGGATTGTGATACATTTATGAAATTTACAGAATAAATTGAAGGTGATTATAAGAGGATATGGAATGTGTCAAAAAGTCTATTTTTACATTTTTGGGTTAGCTCCCTCTCTCATTGGACACCTCCATTAATACCTTGTTATATTCAAGGAGGGGAAAAAATAAAAACTATTTTTGTAAAATAAAACTGTTTAAAACGTGTAATTTGTGTTACGTTTCTTAGTATATTGGGTTTAGAAAAACAAACAAAAATTGTTCTGTACTTTGCTAAGGCCTCAAACAAATTTTAGTTTCAATTCAGTTTTAAATTTTTATAAGAACTCTCAATTTATGGTTTTTGTTAGCAACCTTTTGAATTATTCCAAAGCAAAAATAAATAATACTAAAAGGTATGGTTCAAGGTTGGGAATGGCGTTCTGATAATATCCAAAAGCTTTTTTGGTTATGTTTTTTTATATTGGCTAGAATAAAACTTTTTAATCCAATCAGGCGAAACAGGAAGATATGTAAATTAATTTTGCTTTTTGGAGAAAATTTAAACCTTTATGGCATTCAACTAGTATTGGTTGCCCAAATATTTATCTTGGTTCGTTCAAACAATCACTACACGGAATGGTTAGTAAAGAATTCGTTACAAAGTATGGCTACCAGTTTGAAATTTTAATTGTTCAGTTGAGAACGGCATTTTTACATCTTTTAACCAAGATGGTTTGGATTTTACTGTTGAGTTGTTATTTGGTCTTTTCCCAAATGTGATAATTAAAATCATTTTTTTTATGTGAAAACGTGTTTTTATTAATTTCTTTGTACAAATATATTATTACTCTTGAAAATACAAAGTAAAAGTATTCATAACCGTCCGTAACAAAGCAAGCCCGAACACGCTCTGACTCTGGCTCATGCTCGACAGTCGACACCAGAGAGTATATTGAGAGTATGGTCGACACCACAGAGCTCAGCCAGTTCTTGGTTCAAAAAGTTCGAAGAAACTCGCATAGATGGCGTTACTGTGCATTTTCTTTATATTAACACTTCAAAACAAACAAAAAAAAATCAAATTAACTCAAACTATATTAAATACTCTGTGGACGCAATCTTCTGTATGCCGATCCCCTCACGCAGCCTCTCATATCTAACCATCTCCAGAGGTTCTAATACGATTTTGAATAAGCGAATTACGATGCTATTTGTTACTTTTGAGTGACCTTTATAATTAACTGTTAATGGACATCCATTGTTGCGAAATACTACTATGTTTTTATTTATATTTATACATTTGTAGTGAGGCCTATGTTCCGAAGAAATATATTTATTAATCTAAATTTCCTATTTGGTGTAGCGGCAAGCGGAGGCAAACCGTGCTATCGAAGAGGGCCCACTTAAATTATTTTTACGAATTTTTTATTACGAAGAAGAACCAGAGATAGAAGAAATGCATTGAGCGACAAAACCACTGAAAAATGAGAAGTCCCCGGCTGAAGATAATAATCAAATCGAACTATTCGAAGATACAGAGGAAAAAATCTTGGCGAAACTAACACAATTATGCAATGTGAAAAAGTCATCCCTCGGAAAAAGAAAAGAAAAAAGATTTTAAAAATGTAGATGTAAGCTTATACTTTCTTAAGATTTTCAAAAACAATTCCCATTGAAAGAAGCGTCATTTTCTATCTCCTCTGGAAAGTTGTGTAGATTACATTACGTCGCGTAAGCGTTAGCGTAAAGCATATCCTAAGATCATACTCACAGAAAAATATTTCCTTGGTTTTTAAACTTGTTTGAATGTTCCATATTATTTATATCATTGTGGCCGATACGTCGCGAGCCACGTCCAACTCGTTTTGTAAATTGCAATTTCTGTAGATAACTTTTTCAAGAGAGTCCACTTCTATAAAACAAAGAAAATGGAAGGGAAAACACGCTCCAAATGCAAGCAAATGTCTAGGAGTTATCCAATTGTATCCTTACACTTTATTAATTTACGTAGTCTGTACGAAATGACGCACCAGGAATTATTTGTTCTCTTCCAAATTATACAAATATAACATTTATTTTATATCAAAATAATTTGCCAAGTAATCTGGGATAAGCCATGATTCATAATATCTTATTTCGATGCTTGTTACGGCATTGGAGTCAGGATGCAGCTTCCCAGCCCGCTATTTTACCACCTTTTTTAAATTTGTCCGAAAGTACGAAAACATTTTTAAAATTATTCGGCTATTTTACTCGGGAAAAGAGATTTACCAGATGAACTCTATAAAGTAGAGAAACGCCGTTTTGAGATCAAAAATCGAGTTGTAAGATAAAAGAGCTCGTGCGTATATTCCGCTCATTCTTTCCGGTATTTAACAACGGAAGATCTTAGAGCAACGTGGAATGATAACGAAAGACCTTTGTAGTAAAATATATCCAAAATAAGGTGTGAGAAGATGGAATAATGCTGATATTTACAGAATCAGTTTATTTTTTAAAATACCGGTTCCAAATCAGAATCGATATTTTGAGTAATGCCTCAAACAATTTTAAGATGGTATTCGAAGGAAGACGGAAATATGTGAAAAAGATAGTTATGTTCTACTATTACAGAGCGTTTACCTCTGTCTGTATTACTAGTATAGCATATGTAGTTTGATATCTGTGGGAAAATAGATTGAGATGCAAAGTGACGAAAGCATAAACCGACTGTCTGGCTTGCCTGTCCCGCAAGTCGCGCCGCCTCCGCCGGGCCGGGCAGTCCCGCCGCTCCGACAGAGGGCCCACAACGGGCGGGTGGATGACGCAACGACGCAGAAGAGGAGGGGGGGGGGCGAGGTGTTTTCCTAAATTTCACTTAACGACGCTCCTATTCGTCCAATTTACACGATTGTCACGTCGTTGGATTCAGGAAGCATGTGGCCATCGCGCTATAAGCCCACATTTTTTAATTCTTTTCTCGGAAGTTTGGGAATTAATTTCAAATTTGCGTTTTTGCTAGGTTTTTGGAAAAAGTCTTCGTAGCGTAAATTCTATTTTAAAAAGGCGTCAAATGCTGTTTATAGATCGAAAATCGGACCATTGGTTCAGACGTTATCGGTAAAGTTACTTATTTTGGTGCTACCACTGGTGGCTACAAATTGTACTAGAGTCGGGACATTTAGCCTTAATGCTAACAAATATGATAAAAGTCTTCGGAATCCAATGTACTTGGATGTGATACTTTATGAAAATCCAAACTATATCTAACGCTTCAACTTTACACTTTTCACCCTTTGATAAAGTTTATAACGGGCCCGAACAATCCCCGCGTTTATTGAAAACGGTAAACATTTCTATATTCTTCATGTCTTCCGGGCTGGGTAAACATTTCTATTTCAGACATACTCAAAGCGATCGTAGGTCTCATTTGTGATAAGCCAATCAGGAAAAATTGAGCATAGACAGCATCTACATTGACAGTCAAACGCTTCGCTAAAGTCTATCATTCGTTATTGATTAGAAAACTCCAAGCCTTTGGTATTTCAGGAACTCTACTGAACTGATTCCAAGGATATTTACTGATTTGTTAAATTTGGTTCTAATATTAATAGCAGGGACTCTGAAGCAGATGAGGGCTCTCTGTGATTCCATGAATTAATTTGTAAAAGAACATCCCTACACTCGAATCTTATAGCAACTATACATCTCGTATTTTCTTTTACAAATTAATTCATGAAATCACAGAGAGCCCTCATGTGATTCAAAGTCCCTGCTATCAATATTAGAACTAAAAATGGTTTTACACTTACATGCTCAGAACCACATTTACCAACAATAACCCTCCAAATACGAAGTTTTCGTGCTTTTCCCCGCTCTCCTCAGTTCGTCTATCGTGAAGTAGTCTGCTGCGTCAACGGTGAATTCTCTCTATCTTTGCTTCGTCCTTTGCGTTGTAAGAGCCGCAAAAAGTGTGTACACTATTGAAATAATATAGAAGACGATTATAAACTTACACGATTACATTCACGATACATATATGAGCCGATTAAAATTTTCTCCAAAACTGCTCAAAATTGTTTCTTTAAAATTTTGGTAGGGGTAGTGTATATATGCACTCTATAAGGTGACAAACGCCATATTGCGTTATTCTAATTTGTCTTGTTTTTAAATTACAAAAATTTAATTTTTTGACTTGTCTTTCACGTCGTTAATATTTACACTAGAGGTTATTTGTTCACATTGTACGTGATGCCTAAGCACCAACAGTTTTAAGATGTATTTCTTCTCGTTCTGCGAATTCTTTCTTCCGATAGGTTAATTAATAACTATTACAGATATTTTACATTCAGCGAAAAATGCCTTGGGTACTTGAGTTTAATCAACGTCACTTACATAGATCAATTTAGGAGGCTTTAGTTTAATTCCTGGCACATCACTAAGAGCGCAGCGTCGACGCACGAAAAAACATGTTTTTGGAAACTTCTTTGAATCTCGGATTCGAAACAAATTCTCACTTCCCCATCCGGAGATGGAGATCTAATGGCACCTCATACTTGGGGCACCTGAAGTGGTTTAGCCCTGAGTGATGGAAGCCCCGAACATACGCACACTGTAAGTTTTACTCAAATACAATACAATTTTCTAAGAATGTAGCAATTTTAAGGCATGTTGGAGAGAAATCGGATAATTAAAGAAACGTGCTAAACCGCCCCGTTTTCGAGAATTTTCAATTTTTTTCTCGAATCGAGTAATATACGCTTAATTAAATGGCATGGATCCAATTTTCATTTCAACCACTAAAATATTGATAATTGCAAAACTTCAACTTCTCTTTTGATGCGCCCCGAGCGTTGTTTGAATGTCTTCAGAGAGGCAGTCTAGTGGATTGGTTTGTTGCCAGAGGAACCGTCTGGAATAAAATCCCAGTCTGGGAACTATTTTCTTTGCTGACTGGAAATATTCTTGGGGGTTCAACTAGAATTATAATATTACGTTACTAGAATTACTATAACTGTTACAAACAAAATGAGAAGGAATATGAGGTTGTAACCAGACACGCAGTGTGGGGGGCACAGCTTATTGTTCCTGAGCCCTTGAAGCCCAAGGGGGCCAATGACGCGAAACACGTCGCGTGATTTTTATTGTAATTTGAAGGTTTAAGTCGTCTATTTTCGATTGTACCTCAAATATTAAACGTCTCGCGCGTGCCGTAGTGTGCATTATGTTACGTTCTATTTTTTTCTTGGGTCTTTTTCCAGCTTCAGGGGATGCCCATTTTGACTCTCTGCGCCGGGTACCTGCTACTGGAGACAAATATTAACCTTTACACTGGCCACTGGTACTTGCGGGCTCCTCGATTTGTGGTCAGCAGACTCACAAGGACTTCCACAACACACACACACACACACACACACACACACACACACACACACACACACACACACACACACACACACATGGAAGACAAGGGAAATCAACAATGCTCATGGCGGGACTCGAACCTGCGTCTGTTGAGACCGAGGTGCTGACTCGGCACACGCTCTAGACACCTCGACCACCCATATCGGCACATTACGTTATCTTCTATGCCACGAATTCAAAAACGCCGACTGACAATAGAACCGTTAGGAACAGTGGAGCGCGGAAGGATATAAGTAGTTCTAAAAACAATAATATCGTACACATTGCCATGCCAACAGTACTTTTTGAAGAGCCCCTGCGCGGGGGACGTCCCACCTGCAGCCGACGGTGCGCAGCACGGCCTCCCCGACCAGCGCGTCCACGAAGTCCACGTAGTCCCGCCAGCCCTTCGCCCCCACCGGCGCCCCCGCCGGCGCCTCCAGCCCGAACAGGCGCTGGTTCTCCTTCAGCAGCTCCTGGATCTGCGCCGCCCCTGAGCTGATCTCCGCGTACCTGCGTGAACACGCGCGCGCGTCCTTCGCATCCGCAGTTTTCGTAGCACAGAAAGAAGAAAACCAAGAGGGACAGAAAGGAAGAAAGTGTGAAAAAAGAAAGAACAAAGGAAATAAATAGACGTAAAAAAAGAAATGTTTACAGTGAAGAAGAAAAAGTCCAGATGGAAAGAAAAAAAGAAAGGTCCAAAAAACAAAAAAAGAAGAAAATATCCGCAAGGAAATAAAACAAATGCACAAGTGAAGAAGAAGAGGAGAAGATGCACAAGTGAAGAAGAAGAGACGATGCACCAAGGAAGTAGAAAAAATTCCGGGAGGAACGAAAGAATAAAATATCAAAAAATGAAAAAAAAAAAAAAAAAAAAAAGAGGAAACGGAAGAAATCGAGGTAGGAAACCAAGAGGCAGAAGGAAATGAATCAAGTGTCTGGGAAAGCAAGAAAAAGAGGAGACCGGGAGTGAAAACGAGAGCTCACCGTTTGGCCGTCCGATCCTGCCGGTCGTCGAGGCACAGCAGCGCGTCCTTGCGGCCGTCGCGGCGCTCGAAGAGGGCGACGCGGTGCCAGGCGCCGACGAGCGCGCGAACCGCCTCCACGTTGCTCTGTGTCTTGGCCAGCCGCTTCTCCAGGTCGTGCACCAGCGCGTGCAGACGCTCGATGTACTCCCAGAGCCCTAGCGCACGAAACGAAAACGCGCACGCCGCCGCTTCAGGTTTAGTTAGGCAAAAAAACAACTATGTGGCGTATGGGGGCAGAAGATCAACTGCGCACGGTTTCTTGAATTCCACAATCCCTTCCCATCATTTCAACTATAAATAGTTGAAAGATGAGTATAAAGATAAATAAATAAAAATAAAATTTAAAAAAAGCCCGAGATTAGCAACATTTGAAGAACTAGACATTTTCGTTCCCGAGTTACAGAAAACGTATTTGCAACGGTAAACGAACTGCAGATTTGATTTTTCTGCATTGCTGACAAAATAGTAACTCGCCCTTACCTCCACTCCTACCACTACACACAAAAGGAGAGTTCAACAAAACGTGCGCATAGTTAAGCTACATTTACGTCCAGAAGCAAAATAAGGGGCCGTCTTAGCTTTTGCTCAATGAATCAGCGAAAGTGGACCAAAATCTGATCGAGATGGAGGTCATGAGAGATAGAGTTGAACAGCAGCTACGGCCAACGTTGTCAGATGATTAAAAGTATATCCCAGTACCAATCTTTAAAAAATCCTGGTACTTTCTCTAAAATTCCTGGTACCAATGACAATTGATTTAAATTCTTACATTGTTCATATTAGAACTTTTATGTTTTTAACGCGCACAGGAAATTCGTTAAACTAAACTCGATATCGATGCATTTTATTTCTATAAACTAAATGTAAGACTAAGACATTGTATCCTTTCGTAGCATGGCATGTGATAGAATAAAACATCTTATATCACCCTTAATGATTTTAGAGCAATTATTTCACCAATATCATGGATATTTGTAATTGGTTTCTCATTTAAATTATTAATTAAAAATTTATTAAATAAATCCTACATTATCAATTACCGTATATTTAAAATCCCGATATTTAATGTTACAATATGTCTTCATTCTGGTTCATTGTATTTTCATTAAAATTATGGAAAAGTTCCGGAATCCTGTTAAGTCTGGCAACACTTGCTATGAAAGGGTCACTTTCATGTTGTAGCTGAATTCGAAATGCCTCTGTACAGAACTCAGAGCCTCAAATTGAGGCCTTGTAAGACCTTTCCATCTGCATTCTCATTGGCCAGACCTACGAATTACGAAACCACAACAGCAAACGCGCATTGTATGATAACCGAACATGTATTTTCCAAACACAGTGCGATAAGTCAGGAGTAGTTGTTGTTCGGTCTAAGACTGCTTGCAAATCTTTTTTCTCAGTCGCAATTCTTCATAAGGAAATTACGTGCTCGCATCGCAGCAGAGACGCAAATTGGTCTCACTACGTGGGTAGAAAGCCATCACTTCAACTGCCGGAGTAGACTTGTACGTCTCGGCTGGGAGCGTTTCGATGGGTTGAGATTCACCTCTCCGCTAGTGTGTTCTAAAAGTATTAGCGTCATCCTTTGAAGTTGTAACAACAACAAGAACAATAATAATACTAATAATAACAATAATAAGACAATAATAACAGTCATAAAATAATGATAACAATAATAAAATAATGATAACAATAATAAAATAATAATAAAATAATAATAACAATAATAATGTTTTTAATTATTCAACCTAAGTATTTTGCAACTGACTGATTATTTGGCGTTTTCTGGAGAGCCAACTACTATGGTAATTAATCCCCTGAGTTTAGTGCATTTTTATCCCGAAAGGTGGCGAGGCTCCTCCCCGCTGGAACGTGCCCTACGCGTCGGTGTTTTCCCTTTTTATATTCTCTTCTCTTTCCCGGCGGAACGCGGCCCCAGCTGAACAAGATTTGCGTTCCCGACATGTGGAAGTAGTTCACGCGGGTGTGTTCATGTATATGCATATGTATATGTGAAAGATGTGTATGTGTGTGTGTGTGTGTGTGTGTGTGTGTGTGTGTGTGTGAAAATTGGGGAGACAAGGGCGAGAAAGAAATGATTGCCCGCGGTCCGCAACCCGGTTAATAGTGTACAGCCATGTTCGCTTAATGTTAAATGTAGAAACCACGGGAAAGTACCGATCACAGCAGCCGGCAGATAAGAGTTCTTTTCTTACGGCTGAATTCAAAGGAACTCTGTATCAAGAATGGAAAATCAGCTCCATCGGTTCTAGAACCCTAGGACTTTCCTCTCAGCGACTATACCGAGGCAATAGCAATGTCAGTTGCCACTAAGCGTCGCAGCCGGTGTGTTTCTACAGTATTCAAGGTCTTAACTAAGGGATAACTATTTGAGAATCTTCGAGAATTCGGTGCTGCTTTCTACCGGTTGGATTTCGCCGCAACATCTCACTATAATATTTTTTTCCTCTTCGCCCTTATAACATGCATAACTATTTCGAGAAGCTCTTGAAAGAAAAAGTGTAAAGGCCCATTCACAATGTAAACATGAACATAAGCATGGCGTTAACACAAAAGTTGGGACTACGTCCATAAGCGGACTCATTCACAATGCGTTCGCATAAGCTTTACACGTTACTTTAAAAGCTGCAAGCTGCAAGCTTCTGTGCGTATGTTTAAGTAAGACATAAGAAATGAACCAATCGAAGTACGTTAACTCAGAATCGAGAATCGAAGGAGGGTAGACGAGTCGATAGACGAACTAACGCCATATGGGCCATGGACATAGTCAATACCTTGAAATATATTCTCACATCCAACCAATAGTAAACCACAATGTCTCACAGTCAATAGAAACTCTTATTTTGCTTACGTGTATGTTAGACATTGTGTATACTTCAGTCTATCACTTATGTTAATGTTTACGTCTATGCGTTATTCTTATGTGTACGTTTGCATTGTGAATGGGCCTTAAAAGTTTGTAAGTAGTATGCTACCTTCCGAGTTCCACATGAGTGCGCTCTGCCCCTTCTCCACCAGCGCATCGATCTCTTCCACTTGCTCCTTCACGAGTTCGTACTCAACAGACCGACTGCTACGGCGCACTTGGTTATACCTGCAACAGATGAAGAAAGCGCTGCGTTCGAATTATACCAACTATTGAGTCCAGGTAATCATATCGAAGTACGCAACAACTAACAATTTTATCAAGGATTGCTTTTTCAACGTGCATAAACCACAGTGTAGTCAGAAAGCTTAGTCAAATGTGCAGCCCGATTGACAGAAGGTGGTGTATTTAATGTGTTTGCTACCATGATTTCCACGTATTTTGCCACGGATCGCCTACATATCAATCTATAATCATCACTATTGAGCCCCATCACAAAACTCCTTCATTAAATCGACATTGCGCTCTGACAGGCGATGGTTTATCTTAGACGTCAGATGGTTTACCTTAGTCTTACCTTAGATTTGATATCCAATTTAATGTTGCCAAACATCCCAGATTTCATGTATTAAATTAATATTTGAAAATTGTGATATCACTATAATGCACAAGGTATGACATTTCTCTCCATAAGCAACATCATTTTCAGATTACATCAATGTTGGAGCAAACAAGCTGGTTTTCATTATAAAACTTAGATTTTATTCTATTCAAAGCACATCTCATTATTGCCAAGTTTCTGTATAACCTATTTCAACAATGTATTCTTACTCTACATCCGTAGCTTATGTAATATGCACTGCTCAATAAGCCATTCACGTAACGAGGTGTCGTGCTGTTCAGCTTCAAATGGATGGTAACACTACACCAGTCGGTCTGGTGGTAACCCTCCGCCACCATCGCCACCTGCGTCCAGCTGTCGCTCCCTTCTACGTACCAACGCTACTACATCAATGTCCACTGTTGCGGTCGCTGTAATATTCACGTGACATTCTGTTCTTTGTGTTCACCTTACAGGAATAATAACTTGTCACCTTGTAACAGCAATGTTATGTGATCATCAATCACATCAATGTTTTATGATTCCATGCAACAATCTCCGGATTGTTTTTACGTAATTAGCTTAATTATGAATCTGTACTTATTAAATGCACTCGTGCCTACTCGTTTCCAAGAGATGGTGACAGAACCTGAATTAATCAACTTTCTGGTTAAAAAGAGACAGACGCTCATAAACAGTCAGTTCTCCTTCATGAAGGTAACTTAGGTGAGCAAATGAAGGATGACTGAGTAAATGTCTCTAACCGGGTCACACCCAAAATTGTTCTCAGTCCACCGCTTCACATTAACTCCGCCAATCATATAACACAACTAAGGTAACATGGAATTTAGTAAATTAATGCGACCACGTAGACCAATATATCATAAAAAAGTTAAATATTTTGTTTCGTTGTTTTTATAGTTTTAGGATTATTGACTAACTGAAGTTACATTTTGAAGCGATCGAAATGCACGAAATATATAATTCATTGCTCTGGTTAATGTTGTGTTCATGAACTTCATTGTTTGATTCGTGTATTATTTTTATTCGAGCTGTCGGAGTTTTCATTAGATCAAACCTCCCCGCCCACTCATCCCGCTTTGGCCCCCCCCCCCCACTTCTCTCGACCCGCCCCACCTGCCCCGGTCACGATACACAATGTCTCCGCATATTGCGGGTTGTACTCTTATCATTTCTAGCACCAAAACCTCCAATGTTTCCCCCTCTCACAGAAATCTCGTCGCTTCAAAAATGTTCGTGTAAAATTTGAGAGCAATCCGCGTGAGGGGCTCGAAAGATAGTGTGGAAAATACACAACCACAAACATCCATTGGATATATTTAAAGTCAAATGTGATATTTACAAAGCTTTATTAACAAGTTTTTCATTGTTTTCTTGATATATGTTCAAAGATTATGTTTCAAATAACGACATTGATATCGATGTTAGTATTTCTTTGAGTATAATACACATATCGATTGTTGTCTAATTTTCCAGCAATCCCGAGAACGAATATTGAAATAATTTTTTGTTGCTTCGGGAAAGTAATAATGATTTAATACTCCCAAACGTCATAAGCAGTTTCATCTATTTTTATCTCTTTCACCATCATCATTACAATTACTACTACTAGTATTATTACTACTACTAGTATTATTACTACTACTAGTATTATTACTACTACTAGTATTATTACTACTACTAGTATTATTACTACTACTAGTATTATTACTACTACTAGTATTATTACTACTAGTATTATTACTACTAGTATTATTACTACTAGTATTATTACTACTATTATTACTACTTCTATTATTATTACTATTATTTTATGTTTACTCATTGCTTCATGGACAGACTCTGATCTCGAATAACAACGTACTTTTCGTCAAGTGTGTTACTTGCTATTTATTTAAGAATCTGAATTTAGAAAGTTCCGTACAATTTGGGGGCGTGTTTTAAGATAGACTTCTGCATGAATTTTAAAAGCTTTGGAAAGATCTTGAGTTTCTAAAGGTTGTCTTTGACATGTTTTCTCTAAGGCGTTGGTGTATAGTGGAAGCTGCTATTATTGCTATTACTATTACTATTACTATTATTATTAATATTAATATAAAGATCATATAGATATTATAAATATTTTAGTGCCTAAGTGCAAGTATACTGTGTGACGTACGGAGAAATAAGCACTCACCAAAGCACAGTCTGCCCCAAATTGTCGGTGTACTTGCGGAAGGTCTTGCCCCTTTCGTACATGGCCATGGCCTCCGGCGGGATGTTGGAGCGCCCCATGAGCTTCAGGTAGTGCACCTCGCGGATCATGGCGGACAGCTACGAACAGGGTTCATCAACGGTTACTGCGGGACACGTACACATTGACAATTAACTTTGTTTTCTCTTGGACAAATTATTGATCTGTGAAACTGTGCGCGTCAACAAATAAGGTAAAATGCCCGTAAGTATAGTGCATGTTTATGACGCGGGAGGTGGCGGTGGTCTTCCCCGCTGGATGATGAGATCCGGCGCCGACCTACCGTCGGCTAACGGTGTTTTCACCGACTAGGTATCTCCCACCAGCGGGGCACCGCCCAGCCGGGACAAGCACTACGCTGCCGACTGGTCTTCTGCCAAGTGTGGTGGTGCTGTGCATGTTAGTCTGTGCAAAGGGTGATGATAGGCAAGGAAGAGGAAGGAATGATCGCGTGAGGTTCGTAGCTCGTTCGTTAGGGTACTGCTCCGGCACTGGACTGGTGTTGATCGGAGAAACCACGGAAAACTACCGATCAGAACAATCTCATCCAGTCAACGGACAATCAAACAATCCAGTCAACGGTTCAATTCGACCTAGCTTTGTAGCTAGTGTCGAAAATCCTGCCACCGTCGGAACTCGAAACCTGGAATCTCTCGGTCAGAGACACTGTAGTGACATCAGTTGATACCCTGAGCTACCTCTCTGGAGTTCAAAAAAATATTGAATATCTCGGTATTAAATAACCTTTATGCGATTTCAGACAAACATTGAGTTAATATATATATATATATATATATATATATATATATATATATATAAATGCATTCCCGGACTGTAATGGTGGAAATTAAAACGAGCCCTACTAAATTAATTTTCAATTAGTTGTCCAAATATCATAATACTTACAGAAACATGAAGTGGAAAGCTAGGAGTAGTATATCTAAATTTGTAGCTAAATTGTGGTTTAGGACCACCTGAAGCCAAGCTTTTAAATGAAACCAACGAAAATGGCGAATACGATTATTTTGAAACAAATTCAGGTCTCAAAGCCAGCATATTGTACCTCATAAACTTATTTCCGAGTTCTTCATTTTAAGTAATATTGTAAGCCGCCATTTGTCAAAATGTAAAAAAAAAAATATATACAAGACACAGAAAATATAAGTAATTTAATTATCCCGGCCGAATATTATTCGCTGTTTCCATGAATTCAAAAACATCCACTTCTCTCTTGCGGTTGTTTAAGTTACTTAATATTGTTCCGGATAATATAAATTTTCAAAAAGACCGCAATATCCAAATACTAATTTATGAATAAAATGTCGCTCCCCCACCTCGGGGTCGAAGTTGAGCAGCAGGGCTCCAGCGCCCCTGGCGGAAGGCACGCGCGCTAGCAGCGGCTTGCGCAGGTTGCGCTCGACCTGCTCCGGCAGCGCCGCCGCCCACTCGACGAAGGCGCGCTCCTCGAAGGCCTCCAGCTGCGCCAGCAGGCGCTCGTGCCGCGCCAGCACCGCCTTGGCGCGCGCGCACGTCGCCACCCTGCGCACGAACGCTGCGCTCACACGTTGCCTTCAGGGAGATATGTCGCCCCCGCCACCAGCCTCTCGTGCCACGCCACACCAGGCCCGCGCGCACGTCCCCGCCCTGCGCACGAACGCTGCGCTCGCACGTTGCCTTCAGGGAGATATGTCGCCCCCGCCACCAGCCTCTCGTGCCACGCCACACCAGGCCAGCGCGCACGTCACCACCCTGCGCACGAACGCTGCGCTCGCATGCTGCCTTCGGGGAGATATGTCGCCCCCGCCACCAGCCTCTCGTGCCACGCCACACCAGGCCCGCGCGCACGTCGCCACCCTGCGCACGAACGCTGCGCTCGCATGCTGCCTTCGGGGAGATATGTCGCCCCCGCCAACAGCCTCTCATGCCACGCCACGACACCTTGCCCCGTATGGATGTTGCCACCCTGTGCACACCCATGCACACCTAATCGCCTCATGTTTTCTTCAGGGAGGATTCTCGCATCCCACCAGCATCCTTCCGTACCACGCCACATCACATTAACCCGCGCGCACGTCCAGGCACACCTATTCGCTTCATGTTTTCTTCAGGACGAATTCTCGCACCCTACCAGCAGAATTCCGTGTCACGCCACATCACACCAAACCACCTTGGCCAGCGCGCACGCCGTCACCCTGCGCACACCTAATCGCCTCACATGCTACCTTTAGGGAGGATTTTCGCGCCACACCAGTATCCTTCCGTGCCACGCCACAACACCTTCTCCCGCATGGACCTTGCCACCCTGTGCACACCCATGCACACCTACTCGCCACCAGCAGACTTTGATGGCGCGACACACCGCCTGGTTCCCGGGGCACGTCGACAGTCTGCGCGCACCCAGGCTCACTCGCCTTTCGCTTTGCTTTGGGCAACGGGGTTCTACCGCACCGGCAACATTCTCATCAACCTGCCCCGAGCGCGTATTACCACATGACTACCTCACCTGACCCGCCACATTCGACGTTTTTCGCCCCCGCACCCGTCAACATCCTTTTTTGTGGCGCGTCACACCTCGATTGCCGAAGCACACCGACGCAGTCGCCTGACACGTTCCCTGAGGAGACGATTCTCGCACCCGCCAACATACTTCCGTGTCGCGCCACCCTGCCTTGGCCCGGGCGCATGTCGCCACTCTTCCCACGACCCTCTCGCCATACACTTCGCTTTGGGGAGAGTTCTCGCACCTCACCAAAATGTTTTCTCCATTGCGCCTGTCCTGAGAGGACGTCGCTAGCCTAAACACATGGCAGGTTCTCTAGGAGAAAAGGGGGAATCTCATCACACATTTTATTCTTTTAAGTGTTATTCTCAAATACAATATTTTATTTGATGTAAGGGCAAAATGTATATTGTATTAGTTATTGGAAATTATCTTTGAACCACTTTGTAAATTGCGCGCGGTTTTTGGGCAACGTGGAAGCTGGAAATCGCTATGAGGAAGATTTCTCCGCGCTTCTCCCTGTCGTGTAGTAACTGTCAGTAACTGAAGAAGAAGAAAGGGACCACCTTAGCGAGTGGAACCCTAGGACCCCCGGTCAGAGGCACTGCAACCGTTGCCCTGCACCGGTGGAGCCCGCCGCCCGCCGGGCAGCCGAGTACTCACGGGTGGTTGAGCTCCCGGAAGCGCTGCACGGAGAAGGCGTCGCGGCGAGCCAGCATGCGCGCCCAGCGCATGGCGCCCGCCACGGGCGGCATGTGCACGTCCACGGGCATGCTGCCGCTGCGCGAGTACTCGCGCATCTGCTCCTCGTACAGCTCCTGCGGCCGCACGCGCGCGCACATGTGCGTTGCGGGCGTTTGGCGGGAAACGACGCGGTGCGCGGTCTGGGGCGATGTGACGAGGGTCGCAGTGCAAGGCGCGTTACAGGCGAAACGTGGCCTCAATGGTCATACCGGGCTGTTGTGGTGGTGTTCCTCGCGTGAAATCCGGCGCCGATCTTCACGTCGGGTTACGGTTTCTATATCCGGTTATCCTCTCCCAACGGGGTACCGCTCCAGCCTGGATACGCCTCTAACTCCAGAATGGTCTCCTGACATGTGTGTTAGTGAAGGGATTGCAAGTGCGTGTGTGTATGTACGGAGGAAAGAAGAGTCCCTGAATTGGGTAAGAAAGATGCTCACGGTTCGTAGCTCGTTTGTTAAGGTTCTGTTCCAGCATTCGCCTGGCATTGATAAATAAACCATGAAGAAAGACCCATCAAATCTAGAATCCTTCTATAGAGGGCACTTCAACTGAATTCGATCTAGCTATGAAGCTAGAGTTGAAAATCTGCCATCGTCGAGACTAAAACCTTAGGCATCACTGACAAGGCGATAATGGAAGACGTTTCCAATTTTGAGCAGAGCCTGCGCCTAATGCTATCTTTCCCCTAAAATCATATCTTGATTTGCTTTTGTTCGATTAGGGTCGGCCACCAACAAATTGTTACGTCATGAGAATGAAGAGTTAGCAGTACACACTGCTGGAAAAGTATTCGATGGCTCGGAATTACGTAATTTGTATCGTACTTAATACTCATATGTCACGAGATTACACCCGATAATTCTGTTGGAGTATCGTATTCTATCGTAACATTAGAGTTCATGTATGGGAAGTAGATGTAAAGTGGGTTTGTACAGTGGTTTCTGCAGTGCAAAAACTATTCTCTTCGGCCTCAGCTATGGATGATAACTAAACTTGGTGAACAATTTCTAACGTAAAAAATCAATACGATAATCAAATGCTTTTTTTAATTTTCGTCATAGACTCAAAAATCATGTACTGCTATTCCTATTCCAAGCCTGTTTAATCGAATCATGCAGACTCCAAAATCGTTTCATGAATTTGGCAATTTCTTACTGTTATTCGTTTTAAACAAAAGAAAATTTATTAATCCCATTTCACATCAGTATTCCCTTTTACTGTGGAATAGTATATGGCGATAAATATCAAAACGAAGTGCGTACCTGTGAAAATTTTTCTACATTTTTCAGAATGATTTATACCGAAATGAATTGGCCCGTTTATTGATTAAATAATACGCCACGCCCTTCACTAGACGGGCCCGCCATCTGCTTCCCTCGCGCGGCAAGAGACGGGGCGCACCTCGGAGACGGCGACGTCCTGGTCGAGGCGGTCCAGCACCTGCGCGTACTTAGCCGTGAACTCGCGCTCGATCAGCGGCCGGTCCAGCACCGTCCCCACGATCTCGATCAGCTGCAAGCACACGCCGCAGCAGCCAGTCAAGAAGCGTCCTCGAACCACTGCGTACGCCCCTTAAACACACTCGTAAGGTTAGTGAGACGGCATATTCTTTGAAGGTTATGATCGCAATGCGAAAATCGTCTAAAGGCTACAAGCGCATTTCAAATTACGTTGAAAATACATACAATCGCATTTCAAATAAATACAATGAAGGTTACAAGTGAAATATGAGGTACCTTAAAAATGCTCTAGAGGTACAAGCGCAGTGCAATGTACCTTGAAATTGTTCCTATGGTTTCAAACGAAATGTGATGTATGTTGGACTGCTCAAAAGAATACAAATGCAATTCGAGGTTTCTTGAAAATGGTATAGAGGTACCAGTGCAATGTGAGGTACTTTGAAAATACTCTCGAGGTTACTAGCACAAGCGAGAAACTTTGAAATTGCTCTAAAGGTTACTAGCGCAAGCGACGCACTTTGAAAATGCTCTAAGGTTTAGAAGCAGTAAGAAAGGGAATTTCAAAATGCTCTGAAGGTTGCCAGCGCAATGCAAAGTACCTTTAAAATGCTCTCAAGGTTAGAAGCGGAATGCGCAATGAAACTTCTATTGACATTACAAGCGCAATGCGCGGTACCTTGAAAATACTCCAGAGGTTACTAGCACCATGCGAGGTACCTTGAAAATGTTCTCAAGGTTTCAAGCGCAAGGTATCTTGAGCGCATTCTCAAGGTTTCAAGCGGGGGGTATCTTGAAAATGCTCTAAAGGTTACAAGAGTACTTTGAAAATGCTCCCGAGGATACAAGCTCAGTGCGAGGTAGGCATCTTAAAGATTTTCTCGAGGTTACAAGCAGCATGTGAGGAACCTTTAAAATGCTCCCTAGGTTACAAGCGCCATGCGAGGAACCTTGAAAATGCTCCCTAGGTCACAAGCGCCGTGCGAGGAACTTTGAAAATGCTCCCTAGGTTACAAGCGCCGTGCGAGGACCCTTGAATATGCTTCAGAGGTTAAAGCGGCGCGCGAGATGCCTTGGAAATGCTTCAGAGGTTCCAAGCGGCATGCGAGGGGCCTTAGAAATGCTCCTGAGGTTACAAGCGGCATGCGAGGTGCCTTGGAAATGCTTCAGAGGTTACAAGCGCCGTGCGAGGTGCCTTGGAAATGCTTCAGAGGTTACAAGCGCCGTGCGAGGAACATTGAAAATGCTCCAGAGGCTACAAGCGGCATGCGAGGCAGGCACCTTGAAGATGCTCTCGAGGTTGCTGCAGTCGTCGAAGGCGAGGCAGAAGAGCGCGGCGAGGCGGCGGTCGAGGTGCTCGACGCGCCGCTGGAACGCCGCGTAGTCGCGCGCGAACGCGCCGTCCTCGGGCGCCAGCGCGTCGCCGGCCTTGGCCGCGAAGCGCAGCAGCAGCTCGCTGAAGTCGGCGAACACGCCGCCAATCTGCGCGCTCAGCGCGCGGCCCTGCAGCCCGCCCACCTCCACCTTCTCCAGCTTCATGAACTCCGTCACCGTGTCGAAGAACGTCTGCGCACCGGCCCCCCGGTCCACTGTGCTATTGGCCTCCCTCACGCACGCCTTGCACTCCTCCCGCTCACACGCCACGGCGCTAGCATTGCCCCAACCCCCGTACACGCTTTATGGCTTCTACACAGAAGGTAAGAAACAGCTCAACCCACACTTCATGTCCCTTAATAAAGTTTACATCTTTTGCAATTTCATTGATTGTCTTTGATAGATTCACAAAATTACTGGATTATATGATTTACCACTCTGACACTTTTCCTTTCTCTCATTTGTTATGATGTTAATTTCTTTCGTTTTTAAAACTATATATTAATGTACTCTCAATTAATACTTCATTGGTAATCTATTCCATAATTGTTTTAGTACGTTTTTCTATCAGGAAACTGACGACGATGGCTGAGCCAACAAAAACTGCTATTTCCATAAACAATATTGTTGGCTAAGACAGCGCCTCCAACTATTTTTCCTAGGGATTTTTCCAGCCGATATCCGCTTACCCTTTACGTTCCGATGGGAACATATTCGATTTTACACCAGCTCTCTTGCGGGCTCCTCGGATCTGGGGTCAGCAGACCGCGGGGCACTCCGCAAGAACACATACATACACGAGGGACAAGGGGCAAACAACCATACCCAAGGCACGACTAGAACCCGCGACCCTTCGGTCCGAAGCGCTGAGTGAGTACACGCTGTTAGCCACCGCGGTCATCCAAGTGGTCCTCTATTTGAACTTCGAATAAAGACTTATGCGCTACATAGAAAACTAAGCAGCCTCTGATCATACGAGAGATGTCAGTTGTTTATAATAAATACCAAAACAGTGTTGATTTTTACTAAAAAATGTAAACATGTGATGATGGTAATTCGGAATTTCTTATTCCTGATGTTATGACTTTATTCTCATACCAAGTGCTTTACTGCTTACCATATACGCAACTTTATGTGACAAGAAAAAAATAGAAAAGAAAGAAGATGGATAGAAATAAAAGAAAGATGGAAAGAAAAAAAGAAAGAAAGAAAAAAAGAAAGATAGAAAAGAAAAAATTCAATATTCCTGTGTTACGTTTTAGAGCAGCCAATGATTGCTGCACCAAAAACCAATATTCCACACATTCAGTAACACATTTTTACTGCTCCAGAACACTAGTTATACAAAATGCTGGTATTTATTCACCATACTTTCAAAAGTTCGTACCTCAATTGTGGCTAATCGAGCCAGGAAAGCATTGAATCTTTCGAACACCATATTTGGATGGAAATTCCAGAGAACTGGCTCCCGGTCTTCAAAATAGGTGGCAATTTTCTCTCTTCGGTTGTCGAAAACTTTTCTGTAAGAAATGTGTTCAGTCATTTTTTTTTCATACTGACCGAGTCGAATTTTCTAAGCATGAGTAAAATAATTTCTGAGATACGTCTGCAAAATCATTATAAAATTAACATGCTTAAGTTATGACTGCTCTTCTCATCTTAAGGTAATAAATTATGAAAAGAGTAATTATCTTTATGATAACCTGAACATGGTGAGGGTCGTAACCACATCCTTGATCCTCTCCTTAGCTTCCATCACGTCGCTTTGAAATATTGAAGAAGGGTCCAAATATTTCTTAGCCTGCAACATATTCACCGCCATTTGAAATGAAGATCATATATTTACGCATCACGTACATATAAAATTAAACACGTATTGTTTGCATTTCCTTTATAATCTGTACGAGATTTCTGTTGAATACAGTCTTACATTGTTTATACTTATTTATATTTTTTGCAATTAAAAAATCCGCAGTTTCCAAAATATTTTAATAGGTTTACAGATGTGCATGTCCTTTATTATTATTTTTTTATTGAAATGTATTACACTGGTGAATAATTGAAAGCAATTTGTAATTTGTATTTATAACTGACCACCGGGTACCTGACGACATATTCTAGTTCATAGCTCGAAAGTCTGTCTAAGTTATTTATGAACACGGTTTTTAAAAACATGTTCATAAACATGTTATCCTATGTCGCAAATGTTCTGTATGAAACATAATCTCAGCTCAAATGATGCCTCTGAACTAAATACTAGACCACTCATTAATCTAGCAACATCCCCATCAGATTCTAAATTACCTTACGACGACATATCACATATATTATTACGTAATACATTAAAAATTCTGTATTACAACCCTTCCCGCTAAGAACGAGTTTTTTCTAGGAAAAACACACGTTCGACACAATCCAATATTAGATGATTTGCACAGCGCTAACTTGATAGCGGACAAGTATTTAGTTGCTAGCCTACGCACAAACGTTAGGTTATGGAAATATGATAGCATGTAGTTCATACGTTCCGGTTGTTTGTACGGGACACATAAAAAACGTTAGAGGAAGTGCCAATAATCAGGATCTGCTCCAAATTAGCGTCGTCAGAGCACTCCGCTGTTACAAATCCAAATAATTTCCAATGACGTAACGTCTAAGGGGAAAGCCATGCAAAACGCTCTAAGCGTTTAAAAGATTAATTGATTACATGTTGACCCAAGTTATAATGAGGCATGACGCTAGCATGGCGCTATCTGAAACCCTTTAACGAAGTGGGATCTTTATTCGTACAAGATACGTAGCAATGTAACCAGACTTGTCAAACACGGGACTCGGGTTATAGTCCCGGACTTAAACTGTCCGAAGGCTTCTGACTCAGGTGAAAAAACAGGTTTGTTATTCCTAACGTCTGTAAGCATAAACCTCTATGGGGTACCGATTTGTTAAACCCGTGGATATGAAAGTTATTTCGGTAATCAAGTAACGCTGTAAACCGACGGGTAAGTGGGTGCATGAGGTTATGTAGGGACACGTTAATCAGGATTACAAACCTAAAGCGGCTAAAACTGGCCCGAATCACGACCGTGCATTGGCTCTTTCAGGACCTATCACAGTCGAAGTTGATCGAGTGTGTCCTTCCTCCTGTCATTCTATTACTCTAACATTTCAAAAATTTCAGATTTTAAGAATGATATAGTGAAGAAGTGAGTTGGTGTTCAATTGGTTAAAAAAGAAATTGAATTAAATGACATAAAATATAAAAAAAAGCTTTTATTCCCCTCTTCAATTTGTTAAGAGCTTTTGTTCCGACGGAGATTTTTTTGCATTCTATTAACATTGCATCTGAGTAAGGTTACTCTACTTTATTCTCTAATGTCATTTGGTTTCCACGCCCGTTTCTCTAGCTTCCATTCTTTTCTTTACGTAGGGACATGGTTAATACATCGTTCCTATTTCCTTCCTCGCAGGAGATTTGGTCGTCATTCACCCTGAATATCGCCATAACATGACAAGCTTTAGAAATGATACATTGGACACCCAGAGTCCAAGAAATGTCCCTGAGTAGCAAACGTTTGGCACCTGCTGGATGAGCAGGTTGCAGATCTGTCGCAGCAGGATGATGATCTTGGAGGAGGTGCAGTAGTAGCGCGAGTTGGACCACACCAGGCACACCACGTGCACGAGCGGCATCAGGTGCGGCGACAGCTCGGAGAAGTCCGTCTCCTCTACCACCTTGAAGTGGCGCAGCAGCGGCTTCAGGTACAGCGAGATGTCCTGGGCCTCCGCCAGCGCTGCGCACGGCACACCATCCCGCGTCACGTGTTGCGCACTGCACGTTCGTTTTTTGGCACACACAGGGTCTCGACTTAAGCGCTTTCACCACTTAGCTATCTCCCCAGCGAGCATCGTCCCAGCCAGAACCAGCTCTAAGCTCCCGACTAGCCTCCCGTCAGGGATGGTAGGGTAGTGCATGAAAGTGTGAGAGTGTGAATGTGAGTGAGTGTGAGTGTGAGTGTGTGTGAATGTGTGTGTGAGTGTGTGTGAGTGTGTGTGAGTGTGTGTGAGTGTGTGTGTGTGAGTGTGTGTGTGTGTGTGAGTGTGTGTGTGTGAGTGTGTGTGTGTGTGTGAGTGTGTGTGTGTGTGTGTGTGTGTGTGTGTGCACGGGGAGACGATAAGGGCGAGAAAGGGCAGTTCACGCACTGTCCGTGGTTTGTGGTCAGACGGAAAACTTCAGAATCAAAGCACCCGGTCGCTGAACCTTTCCCAGCTACGTAGCTAGTGTTAAAAATTCGCCACTGTTCAACGAAATCCGACTCGAACCTTAGGATCTGCTTGTCGATGTTGCCGCAGAGGCAACAAGCATCGTCCCAAAATATTCAAACATTAAATAATTAAAAAATAAATACAAGTAACCAAAATAAGAAAGAAACCACAAACACTTTTGCAAAGAGTACAATGATTTTATTCATTGTTGCCACTACCGTTGCTTTTACCGTATATTATGCAATTAGAACACGAATTCGACTCAATTTATATACTAGTTACTCGAATACTTATTTTGTTCTTTCCACACATTTGGTTATTTCTCAGCTGATATTGCTTTCAACTAATTTTACACACCTGGCGATTGTATTATTTTTCTACAATAAAGCTCAAAACTAGTGATTAAAAGTTTCATTCTACTTTTTATCTGTCGTACTAACGTTTCTTGTTTTGAAAGAAAATTTTAAAATCATTCAATGAAAATAACACTGCTTTTCTTGATGTTTTTAAATTGGTTTGAAGATCTAAACATTGTATGAATTTAATAAAAAATGATTATGGGAATGAATGTCTGCCTAAAAAATTGAAGGACCTTCAAGCCAATTTTTTTAAAAAAAAACGTAACGTTTTTGTTTACAACTCTTGCGTATTAATGGATAAATCTGCAATCCATACTTCTGCCCTTGGTTGCATCTGAGCTACGAAAGGAATCTTCTACGCGGGAGAGCCTCACCGGCGACGATGTTCCGGAAGAGCGTCTTGAAGCAGGGGAAGTAAGCGCTGTCCGTCTTCTCCAGGATGACGGCCATCTTGCGCACGCGCTCGTCGCGCAGCTGCTGGTAGATGTAGCGCAGGTTGCGCAGGCGCGCGTCCCAGAAGGCCACCTCTGCGCACACGCACACACACACCCACGCACGTCGCCACCCCCTGCTTGCGCCCGAAGGGTGCAACGCTGCCTGCGTGTCACCCTTTAAAGGCCTTGTAGCGCAATATGCTGCTCCCCTCTAGTTTAGCCTGTTCCATTACACCCGGGTGCCCGTTATTAACCTGTATTACGTCTTCAGGCCGACATAGAGCAAATAACTAACCGTTATTTGTCTTATAAGCTTTACGTCGTTCAATATTTTTCTAATAACATCTTATAAGAAAAAATCAAATTCAGAAAGCCCGAGACATCTTGTGACGCAACTATTGACGGCTGCTAAGGGCGAATATTCATCCCTGGGTTGATTGTGTTTTGTCAATATAACAGCACAGAATTACGAAACACTTAATAACGTAGCCGATGTAGAGCCAAAATAAGACGCTGTTCAAGTTTGTAAAACTTCTTCCCAACCAAATGGCTCTCTGATTGCGTGCGCCATTTTCGAAAATTAAATATCTTTAATGTTTTCGAAGCTTTCTAAAGATAGATTGTATAAGTAATATGAATAGGTAAACAATCCATTGATAATCTGTCCAAAATGGTAGTCTTTAATTTTAACACACTATTTAAATTTTAATTCTTTTCCAACACTGAAAGATCACTTAAACAGGTTATTCGACGAGATGCGTTAGTCTCACATAACGTTTGGTCAATAAAATATTTCGGCATGGGTCTTTAGAACATGGATACATCGAAGTTTTTATCAAGTGATCCCCCAACCAGTGCAAAAATGTTCATAAATGAAAATAAAGAACAAATAAATTGTTTTCGGAAAAAATCAGACATAGCACATTCCTCTTCAAAATTGAAACAGCTATCACAATATACACATCAATAATCTGCCTTTCCCTAACATATAGGTGGCACAACAAAAAACAAATTTTAACAAAATTGAAGTTATTCAAAATATATTCTTTAGACGTGTTTTAAGTTGTCCATCGTTTGCTACAAATAATCAAATTCAAAGAGAAGCTCATATTGTATCCCTTCAAACATGGATAAATAAATTATCGATCAGCGATACAAACCTTCTTATTAGGGCAGTCAGCTAACTCGTTACCCCGAAGTAAATATAGTCATTCGTAATATTAATTACATCCTTTTTGATTCCACTGATTACCTATTCAATAGAAATAAGTCACGAAACATTAAAATAACTGTTCAGAGATCCCTTCCTGGAAGTACTTCTATAATTGTTAATTATGTTTAATGTTTAATTATGTGTATAATATACTACAGAATTAATGTAATTTATGTAAATCTTTTTGGAACAAGGAAAATATACAATTCAAAAAACTAAACAAAAAACAATTCATTTTTTTTTGTTTGCAATAATTAGTCACTTCTCAGAAAATACACCCAGCTAGCAACCAATTCATTCGTTTCCGAACCCAGCAGTTTATTTAATGGAAGAATTACGATTTTTGTTTCACTTTCACAATTAAAAGGTTATCAAACTCGTTTGGTTTGATGCCTTGGATCACTACATCGTACATTTATTGCTCCGTTAAATATAATGGCCAATGTAATTCATACAATTAATTGTTTATTGTGAAGCCTGTTTATGGTTTTTGTGCACCTGAACATGACGCCTTTGCCCTCACCTTCGTAAGGCACCGGGTTGTTGCCGTTGGCGAAAGCCTGCGCCGAGTCTTCCGTGATGACGTCATTGATCTGCGTGGCCCACTTGATGATGACACCCTCGATGGCGCTTTTCAGGTACAGGTCCACGATCTCCCCTTTGCTGCAAACAAGACAAGACGATTGGCCCAAGCCTGTGAGGTTATCTGTGTGAGGTTACAGCCGTTGAAAGAAACATGTTATTAAAATGCCTGTGTTAGAACTCGCTGCATATTCAGCAGGCTAGTTTATACCGCACTTGGACACTCGGCTTCGAGCTTCGGTACATTCTCATATTTTGTATATTTGTAACCAATTCTCTTGCTGGATACTTTACAATGTTACTGCTTAAATAATTACATATTTCTAACATAAATAGCTATTTAAATCAATTTTTCCAAATAGAGGAATGTAAACGAAATCTCTAGGCTTCACTGGCGAGGGGCGTGCCCCCCCGTAAATCCGCCAGTGAGAGGGTGTTGGGGCAGTGGTGGGGAGAGGGAACCCACCTGCGGATGAGATCGCGCTCGGCCTGGTCGACTCTCTCCACGCCCACGGGCATGGCCAGCACCGTCTGCCCCGTCACCTGCCCCTTCACCTGGTACACCGTGCTCTTCAGCCCGTGCACGTGCATGTGGATATCCTGCGCCACGGCCGCCGGCCACGTCGTGTGGTTGTCGGGGTTGGACAGGATGGGCACGAACACCTGCACGCACGCACGTCGCACGGCTCTCACACTGTCAGACATTTGTCTTTTCTTATACCTACAGTTTCATATTCTATTTCAACCGGATTTCATTGGACCAGTCGTATAATGAAATTGTTTGTGTAATATTTAAGACGTCAGGGTATTCTGAAGCGTGTGAGCAGATATTTTAATTTAAACAGAATGTCTTGGAATAATTAACTACATTCTGTGACCTTTCTTAGGGTGAAATGCAGGGAAAAAGGTCGCAGAATGGCGGCCGAAATGTTGTCACCGGTGACTAAGACGCCGCGACTTCCGGGCAATTAAATAGTTACCGACTCAGACCGCGGAAGCCCAAGTTCTATCAGAATAAATGTTACAAACTTCAAGGGGATGTAGGTGTATCGAAGATTATCACATTTTGCTAATGAACGTGTAATGGGATACTTCATAACAAAAAGTCATACGCGCACTGATGTAGGTCACGCACTGATGTAGGTCACGCTGTAGGTGCTATTCACGCACTGATGTAGGTCAGATCACGCTCTGCCGCAATATACGAGAATTCGTTTAACTCAGGGACGTCCAACTTGCAAGGTCTCAAGGACCTCAACTGAAATCTTAAAATACTTGCGGGCCATATGTACATTCCTCAAGTGATCCACACCTGACTTCTCGTATTGTTGATCACGGCATTTTCCCGGTTCCTTTGAAACGAGGAGGGAGGAGACTATTTTATCATGCACAACGCAGTGAAACAGATTATAATGATTTCGAATTTCTTTATTAACGAGAAAAAAATCTTTAAAACTACACAACCTATTTTTACATAAAGGGGGTGTTGACCCCGACAGGAAGCGTGCGCCAGGTGCGCAATGTTGGTGTAAAGGATTCTCAGTATTGACTAATAACCTTTCGAGGGCCTCAATAAATTGCAAAGCGGGCCGCCAGTTGGACAACCCTTGTTTAACTGATGTTTACCAGAGTATGGAGAATGGCCTAACATTCAAGGGTAAATACCACGTGTGAAAGTTAAACATGAGGGCTAATGCCACAAGTTGTACTGTAGTCTTTGTAAAACAGTGTCTCTCACGCGAAATATCTAACATCATTTGTTTGTATGGCAACAAAGACCTTTACATGTTCATCCTAGTTGCTATTTCCCGTCCCACGCGTGGTTGGAATTAACCCCCAATTTACATCTGCGAATCATGACCATGTATTGTCAATAACTAGATAATGTTAAGTTGCTACGGTGGTTGGAAATTTCAAAACGGTAATTTCCCCAAATAAGAGTTAAAAACTATAACTCTGATGTGGTGGTGAAACGTAAACTATTTTTTTTCCATTTTCCTGACCAACATCCCATTATGTACGAAGAAAGATGTTCCTGCCATGGCGCTGCCCCCTCCCGTGCGCGCGCGCGTGCGTCACCTCCTCGACGAGGCAGGCGAGGTGCTCGATGGCCTTGGGCGCGATGTCGCCCGGGATGAGCAGGTCCTCCATGTTGTCCTTGGTCACCGCCTGCGCGTTCTTCTTGATGAAGTACACCGCCTTCGACTTGATGCTGGCCGGGAAGCCCGTCACGATCGTCAGGGTGGCCGCGGTGTTCTGCAGCACCAGCATCACCTGCGCACCATCGCTAGCAGTGAACACTACTTGAGAGCGGATTATTTCGAAATTGCATGTTTTTCGTCCTTGCACGTTCAGGTCTGAAAATGAGCGAGCCATGGCAATCCTATATCCAAATTTCTCTTTACTTATCTTGTCATATATTAAACATTTTGCTTATATATTAAATATATTAGCATAACTTCAGAATATTTTTCATATTTTCATGTTATTTATTTCACAAAAAGTATTTAATGAATTTTCAAAACTTTTTTTAAAATGAACATATTTTTGCCTTTCACAAATTCAGAATTTTTAAAATTCAGTATAAAAAAAGTTACATTCAGAAAAATCAAATCGGCATGTCGCACGTGAAGACGCGTCCAAATTCAAGAGGTCTCGCTGGGTTAAACTCCGTGTGCACTGCGTGTATGACGTGAGTGCTAAGAATGTAACTTATTTCACAAAAAGTATATATTGATAAAATATATCCTCGGTGGCTTAGTGCATACATATTGAGTGTTCAGAATTCCAAGTTTCGAAAAAAACTTGAAAGTTTGTATACGTGTAGTTTACTTATGGAGCGACAATATTTGCTTTCTGTGGAAAATAATGATCCCTCAGATATGGACACTGTCTTTGTACACTTTGTAGATAGGAAAATGAAGTCTCCAAACATTTATTGTATATTAAAAATATATTCAATCAAAAATGACCATTAGTAAACGTACAATGTTTATGCAATAAGCCATCGATGGATTGCGTATATATTAAAAGTAAACAACGACCGAAAGTGCGTCCTGCATGAGTAGAAGGCGGAGGCCCGAGCGCAGAGAAGCGTGCTCACCGTGAGGTCCGGGCGGTTGAGGAACTCGAGCACCTGGTCCCGCTGCTCGTCCACGGCCAGCAGCCGCCCCCACTTGTCGGGCTTGAGGCGCAGCGACTTCGTCACGTACTTGCCCACGTACTCCAGGCGCGTGTCCACCGGGTTGTCCATGCTGCGGCCTCTGCGGACCGAGGGCGGGGCACACTGACAGCGCCGCAGGGGCCCCACCCCCACCCCTACCCAACCCACAGCTCCCTCTCCATCTAGATCTCTCTCTCTCTCTCTAGATTTATCTCTCCCTCTCTCTCTAGATCTCTCTCTCTCTCTCTAGATTTATCTCTCCCTCTCTCTCTAGATCTCTCTCTCTCTCTAGAATTCTCTCCCTCTCTAGATCTCTCTCTCTCTCTCTAGATTTATCTCTCCCTCTCTCTCTCTCTCTGTCTCTCTCAGTACAATCGTCTCCCCTGATACAAACAATTTAGTTTTTTAAACATTCGAATACTTCGCGTGTGAGCCATTTCTGATGTGTGCTTGAAACTATATATATATATATATATATATATATATATATATATATATATATTATAAAAATTCGGACAATGTTATACATATTTGTGTACACATATACTACAACAGTAAAAATATGTTGTGGTATTTCCTGAGCAAGTGCATTTTTATTCCGATTTTAAAGCTCTAAAATGTTTTGCTGGTTGCATATCATATTATTGGAGAAGTTTGTTTTTTTATTTACATTTTTTCTGTACATTTAGCCTTCTGAATAAATATTTTTATATAAACACATACTCATTTGATGATATATATTTTCATAAATATAGTTTACACTGTGTTCGTTGTGAAAAGTCACTGTATTGTTCCAAAATATATTCACCTTCCTAACTTATGTCATGAAGAACAAGCACTCAATGAAATAAAACAATATTTTCAAGTGTTTTCGATTATTCTTATAGTACACATGTCGCACTCTTCTCTTGTAATTTATCTACAGTTTTTTTCTACTTTGGCGCGATATGATAGCATGAGTTCATTTAATAATACAATATTAAAATTATTAGAATGAAGACTTATCAGCCGTTATTTGTTTATTACGTCATTTGATGTACGAGTTGCAAGCGAGTATGAGTGTGAGTGAGAGATGTTAACGCAGCGACGATAGCAAGTTCTTTTAAGTTCGAATATTGAGTGTTTTTAAATGCCATGATTAACGAGTGTGTATTAACAAAATGTCAGGCATTCATTGGAAACATGTGTTCGTTTAAAAAAAAAATTCTTGGTGTTGATAATATGTGATGCATTATGATTTTAAATGATTCAGAAAAGAATTTTTTGCACTGCAATACATTCCCAAATCTTGGTTAATTTAAATTACATATTCAAAAAGATGTTTTGCTCTGTGCCGACAATGCAAAGTCATTGTATTATTTCAGGATTTTTCAACTTTCTCATTTTATTAGTCATAGAGAATAAGTACTGACCGACACGAATTGTTTGGGGGGGGGGGGGCGACAGAGCGAGTGATTTCCATGTAGTGCATATGTTGCACTTTTGAATATTTTCACTACAGTTCTTCCTTTTGTGTGATACAATCGCAAGGATTCTGATAGTTGAATCAAGCCCCTATTTTGCTGAAACGGTAACTAGACTTAATGGCGTCTTTATCTTGCGAAAACGCAGACGAGAGATCGCGTGTGAGTAATCGTCGTTCCTAGGAAATCGCTCTGTCATTCGCCTTGAGAAGCCGCGGAGAAATGCTCTCCCGAAAGCCAATGACCCACAGAACATCGCGCAACTCACGTTCGAAGGAATCGTGAATCCAGCAGCGCATTTGTACAGATAAAGAGAGTAGATCGATTATTGCGTGTTTTCGGGCGGGTTGACTGCTGTGTTATTAGTCCTCCTAGGGTTGAGCATGTTAAAACCGGACGATGGCGATGTTTTCTCTGCCGCTAGATCGTGTGTTCCGGCAGCAACCTACACGCCAATATGGCCCCTTAAGTGTTTCCGTTAGCAGGGCACCGCGGGTCAAGCTCTACGCTCTGACTGGTCATTTGACTTGTCAGGTAGTGTCGGGCGTGTAAGTGGAAAAGTGTAAGGGAGGTGGCTGGGATGAGGAAAGAAATATAGCGCGCGACCCGTTTGTTAAGGTACTGCTTCGGAATTCGCGTGTTATTGATTGGAGGAACATAAAAAAACCACTAATCAGAGCAGCCGGCCGCACGTATTTTCTTCCTCACAGCGGTTGAATCCAATCTAGTTACGTCGCTGGTGTAGTATTTCCGCCGCCCGTTGGGACTCGCACGACAACTAGACCACGGCCTCTTAATGAAAGACAATGCAGTGCCAATAGCTCAAAATCTGAAGCGTCACAGCTACACAGCTCACAGCGTTATAGCTTGAAAACAAATTAAGCCCACAACCAGAAATTTGAACCAAAAATGGAAAAAAATTAATTTCCTACAATCTATCTGAAATCACGTATACAAGTACAACTCACGACGAGAAATTCAATGGTGCAAACTAGACTTATTTCCGCCTAATAGTTTCGAAATTAAACGCATTAAAACAACCAAAGCCCAAAACCCGAAATTTAGGCAAAAATGGAAAAAATCTTGAATTCCCGGATCTATCTGAAATCACGTATGCAAGTAAAATTCACGACGAGAAATTCAATGGTGCCAGGTAGACTTCAATCCGACTATTATTTTCAAAATTGAACGCTTAAAAACCAATAAAGCCCAAAACCCGAAAATTTGGGCCAAATATGAAAAAAAACCTAATTTCCTAGAATCTTTCTGAAATCACGTATACAAGTACAACTCACGACAGAAATTCAATAGGGCAAACGAGACTTCAATATGACTTATACTTTTGAAATTAAACGCATTAAAACCACAGAGCCCAAAACCGTAAATTTGAACCAATAATGGAAAAAATCTTAATTTCCCAGAATGTATTTGAAATCACGTATACTAGTACAACTCACGACGAGAAATTCAATGGTGCAAACTAGACTTCAATCCGACTATTAGTTTCGAAATTAAACGCTTGGAAACCAATGAAGTCCAATACCCGAAATTAGGGCCACAAATGGAAAAAAACCTAATTTTGTATAACGTATCTAAAATCACGATTGCAAGTACAACTCACGACGACAAATTCAATGGCGCAAACTAGACTTCAAACCCAATATTAGTTTCGAAATTAAACGCTTCACAACAAATGAAGACCAAAACACGAAATTTGGGCCAAAAATGGAACAAAAAATTAATTTCCTAGAATCTATCTGAAATAACGTATACAAGTACAACTCACGACGATAAATTCAATGGTGCAAACTAGACTTCAATCCGACTATTAATTTCAAAATTAAATGCTTGAAAAGAAAGCCCAAAACCCGAAACTTTGGGCCAAATATGGAAAAAATTTTAATTTCGTAAAATCTATTTGAAATCACATATAAAAGTAGAACTCACGACAAGAAATTCAATGGTGAAACTAGAATTCAATCCGACTATTAGTTTCGAAATTAAACACTTGAAAACAAATGAAGCCCAAAACGCGAAATTTGGGTAAAAATAGGAAAAAATCTTAATTTCCTAGAATCTATTTGAAATCACGTATACAAGTACAACTGCCGACGAGAAATTCAATGATCCAAACTAAACTTCAATCCGACAATTAGATTCGAAATTAAACGCTTGGAAACCAATGAAGACAAAATCAGAAATTTGAGACAAAAATGGAAAAAAAATCCATGAATCTATCTGAAATCACGTATACAAGTACACCTCAGGACGAGAAATTCAATGGTGCAAACTAGACTTCAATCCGACTATTAGTTTTGAAATTAAACGCTTGAAAACAAATGTAGCCCAAAACCCGAAATTTGGGCCAAAAATGCAAAAAATCTTAATTTCCCAGAATGTATTTGAAATCAGCTATACAAGTACAACTCACGACGTAAAAATCATTGATGCAAACTCGACTTCAATCCAACTATTAGTTTCGAAATTACACGCTTAAAAACAAATGAAGCCCAAAACCCGAAATTTGGGGCAAAAATGGAAAAAAACTTAATTTCCTAGAATCTCGTGAGTTTGTTACTTGTTATACGTGATTTTCAGATAGATTCGAGGAAATTAAGTTTTTCCATTTTTGCCCCAAATCTGGGTTTTGGGCTTCATTTGTTTTCAAGCGTGTTAAGTTTCGAAACTAATAGTCGGATTGAAGTCTAGTTTGCACATGAATTTCTCGTCGTGATCTGTACTTGATACGTGATTTCAGATAGATTCTAGAAATATTTTTTTTCCATTTTTGCCCCAAATTTGGGTTTTGGCTTCATTTGTTTTCAAGCGTGTAGTTTCGAAATTAATAGTCGGATTGAAGTCTAGTTTGCACCATTGAATTTCTCGTCGTGAGTATGTACTTGTATACGTTGATTTCAGATAAGATTCTAGGAAATTAAGTCTTTTTTTCAATTTTTGCCCCAAAATTTTGGGGTTTTTTTTTTGGGGGGGCTTCATTTGTTTTCAAGCGTGTAATTCGAAACTAATTAGTTCGGATTGAAGGCGAGTTTGCACCATTTGAATTTCTCGTCGTTGAGTTTGTCTTGTATACGTGATTTCAGAATAATTCTAGGAAATCAAGTTTTTTTCCATTTTGCCCTAAAATTTTTGGTTTTGGGCTTCATTTGTTTCAAGCGTGTATTTCGGAAACCTAATAGTCCGGATTGAAGTCTATTTTGCACATTGAATTTCTCGTCGTGAGTTGTACTTGCTATACGTAATTTCAGATAAGATTAGGAAATTAAATGTTTTTTTTCATTTTTGCTTCAAATTTCGGGTTTTAGGCTTCATGTTTCAAGCGTTGTGATTTCGAAACTAATAGTCGGATTGAAGTTTAGTTTGCACCATTGAATTTCCGTCGTAAGTTGTACTTGTATACGTGATTTCAGATAGAATTCTAGGGAAATAAGTTTTTTTTCCATTTTATGCCCCAAAAATTTTTGGTGTTAGGCTTCATTTGTTTTCAGGTGCTTAATTTCCGAAACTAAAATAGTCGGATTGAAGTCTAGTTTGCACCATTGAATATTCTCGTCCACGTGAGTTGTACTTGTATACTTGATTTCAGATATTCTAGGAAATTAAGTTTTT